TATTATTCACAATCTCTCTCTCTCTCTCTCTCTCTCTCTCTCGGCTCTGTCGAAGTGTGCACACCGTTTAAGAGAGTTTGAAAATAGTGGGTACAATTGAGAGGACAGACATAAAAAGTTGGCAATTAGACGGAAAAAGCAAAAGTGTTATTATATTAACAGTGAAAGTAATGTTTAGTTGAGGGGTAATAAAGCAATAATAAAGACTAAAGTCCTGAAAATTGCAGGTTTAGATGTCATCCAATGTTTTATTGTGTGCCAACATTTCCAGCGCCTCTCTTATGCCTCGAAACATATAGAGACAAGTCTTCGCTCCTCTCTATTAGACTATTAAAAAATTAGCCCTTATTTTGATTTTTAATACGAAAGCAATTTATTCGCTGAATTGCTATTTAAGTGTTTTGCAGACTATTAGTGAGTGATAATAGTTGGGGCACAGCATGAGGTATAGGAGGCACTCGGGATGTGAGACCTTTATTTAAGTCACTGTTACGGAGCTATCGGTCCTCTCATGTAATGGGGTGTAGAGCAGGTAATTGTAGCGGAGGTTAGCTTTTAAATGAAAATTTCAAATTAATGACTCCACACCTGTTGTTATCACTGTTTATAATGTTTATCCAAAGCATACAATCGTTTAATCAAAATAATAAAGTAATAAAAATCAATAAAAGTCTCCGATTTTTAAAGCAATCAATCGAAGGATTTTTCTTTTATTATCTTTAAGAAGACAATTGAAGTGTTGGCCAAAGAATAAAAAACAAAACGCAAAAAAAGTCTTGTATAATGTTTTTTCGACTCTTTATTTTTAACGCAACAGCAAAACAGCCGATAAGAGTGTTTGGCATTGAATTTAAGGGCTGTTTGTTGTGATTAATTATGTTAAGAGACATAAATTCAATTAATTCTTAAGACAATAAATTTACTCAATAATTAAATTGATATCAAATTTCTATCTGTAAGACGAAAGTCAATATCGAGACAAAAAGGAAAAGTTTCTTAATTTGTTTTTTACATTATTATTATTATCATTGTTTAGTGAATAGCAGTGAAAATATTTTTCTCCAGAATTAAACCTGTAATTCAAAATGCAGTCAAACGAAACGGATCGTCAAAAAGAGTCAATTTTCTCGCATTTCAGTTAAATAACATCCATTACATATGTATATACAGTATGTGTTCATCACTACTATTCATATAAATCTATACACTTTTATCCAACACGACAGCACCGATACCTCTATAGAAATCATGAAAATATAGAAAAAATGTTCGACGAAAATAAATTATATCAAAAATGTTTTCGATTCCCATTGATTACCATACAATTGTAATCACACATCAAATGCCTAACACTATTATTACTAAACAAATGCTGTGCCACTACTTCTCTCATACAATCATTGCTACCCATTCTCTATCCGTAATTCAATTTACGAAACATTTTTGTTACAAATTTCTCTCTCATTCTTATTCTTTCTCTTCTTTTGAGAAATTTCTTCATAACTTTTATGATTATTATATATTATTCACGTTTTAATAAATTCTGATCGACTGAAGTCACGGACGCTTAACAGACAAAAAGTGAATCGCGAAAGAAGATAGAGAAGAATGAATGGCGAAAAAAGTGCACCATTTTTCAGTGCCATTCAATTCATTGCAATTTTCATTGTCTCTTTGGAGTCAAATTTTTTGAGAGAAAAAAATATATAACATCGAAACTGAAAAGAAATTACTAATTTCACAAATGACTGCTCGCATACACACTAACAGCCCTCATATGATTGCCTCTCCATCTCTTACTTAACATTATTTTCTCTTACTTTCCATTTTTTCACTCCAAACAACACAAACACACAAACGGCTATTGAGTTTACATTGAAATTAAATGTTATGTTTCTTTTTTGGCGATATTATCGCACAGAATGAGAGAAACGAAAAATGGTATTCATTATTATTATGATTAGCGAATCTCTTAAAACAAAATTGCAATACATATCGAGTGTTTGTCAGTTAGAAAAATATAGTCAAATATAATATAATCATAATTAATGCCTCCAGAGATTGGATTGCATTTGGGATTGAGTTCGGATCGCGTGATGAAAACAAATACTATTCCGGAGAAAAAAAGTTCACTATTTCTTTCAAAAAGCGAAACCTATTAAACTTAAACGTATTTTCAATATATTTATATACATTTTGTGTAATTTTCTTACAGAATATCAAAAGTAATTTCTATTTTGTTTGCGGAGACGACGAGTCCTGAAGCGGAATATTTCTGCCAATTAATGGCAAAATAGATGGGAAACACATCATCGGTGGACAAATCGCATACATTTGAGTCAATTGGAGCCAAATATTCTTTCGTCTCTCTCTCTCTCTCTCTCTCTCTCTCTTTGGAGTCAAATTTTTTGAGAGAAAAAAATATATAACATCGAAACTGAAAAGAAATTACTAATTTCACAAATGACTGCTCGCATACACACTAACAGCCCTCATATGATTGCCTCTCCATCTCTNCTCTATCTTCTTTCGCGATCTCATGCTCTCTCTCTGACTGATTCCGGTTTAGGGGAGGCAAAGAGGACAGGGATAAGAAAAAAGCAGTTCCAGCGACCGAACTATAATTGTCTTCTGCTATGAATGAAACGAAATGATAGAAAAGGGGATTTGTTTGTGATGTGAGTGTAGAGTGTATTGCAGTATATTATAAATATAGGATCATTTAAAATGATTTGAAAATACCATTATTCTCGCTATAAAGACAAGTCTCTCGCATTTGATGCGATAGTTTGTGTTACAATGGATTGACACAAAGTGTGTACCGAAGACATGGCATAGGAGTGGAGAAGGCATTGGAGGAATGGATTCCATGGCTGAATTGACTTCATTTTTACGCTTCTGTTGGCAATTGTATTGTAGAAGAAAGCAATCATTTATATTGAGTCCCATTTTCGGCACATTTTTTGCCAGAAAATAATTCGTTTGTTTTGAATGCAATTTCTTTGGCAATATTTTTATACAAAAGCAATAAATTGTGAATTTATTTAGAAAAATATAAATTTAAAATTGCGAGTGTTTTGTTCGTCGCCTTTATTACTCTTCTTCAGTCGCTTTATTTAAAATTTTATATTTCTTAATATTTAATATTAACGTTATATAAATAGACGAATAAATTAGACATATTATGTAGTGTTTTATTTATTTTTAATTTAAGTAAATTTTATTTAATGATTTCTACATTACTGTACTTTACTTTTACTTTAGATTAATAGCCATTTATTAAATATTTATAAATTAATAGCTCTTAATTCATAGGCAGTCACTGTTTGTATTATAATTTAAATTAATTATACTGTTTTGATAGTGTATTCAATGTAGTGAAAGGACTAGTGATAAATATAATTAGTGTGCTAATGAACCACGAACATTTTATTTACTTTGCTTTTTTATCCATAATGAATGCAAATTATTTCCATGGATTGCTAATTAAATTAATTAACATTTTATATTTCAAATTAAATTAAATTATTTCTATCTCTTAAATAAAACAGTTAATTCAATGATAATTATATTTAAGTGTAGAAAATGATTAATTTAATTGATTATTGTGTGGATAGGCATCTGTTTTGCTGATTATGTGAAGTGAGACCACTATTAATGACGAAACAAAAGTTTTATTACTTTTGACAAACATCTAAAAGTTGTGTAATAAATACAAATAATAAACAATTAGTTTTATTTTTGTTGTTGTAGTCATTTAAAAATGTTAGTTGCGTTTAAAGGGCACAAAGAAGGGAAACGTTAGATTTTATGATTTCTTATATTATTCACTGCAGTATAGGTTATCAACAAACAAAAAATGTTTACTATTTGATTCAATATAAGACTCAGCGAATTGATGCGAAATGAAAGTCAATTACAAAAACTCTGATCCCAAATGTTTATATATAAAAGCAATTTTGGTGCACAAATAGAGAAAAGGTAGTTATTATTTAGTCGTATATATCGAGCGATTCCTAATTGCTATGAAAAATAATGTGATTGAATGGCCAGTCGGTGGGAATGCGACAAAAATTGGTGTCGGCGTGGGATTGGGATTACGGCGACAAAAAACAAGACAAACTCCAGTCCACAGCCGACTATTATGTAATCGATTCAGCGATGCATTACTACAGCATCTAAAGTCTCATAAGCGGTGCCACAGTATTACTAGATTTCCCATTCCTATCGCAAACCAATTGTCTGTGACATCATTTAAACACATATTATGATTATTATTTGTATGATATCGTAATTGACGGCACCATTATTTATGCTATAGGTAGACAAAAGGTACCACAATATTGCATCCAGCACATGCTATGCTATGCTTGCTCTCTCTCTCTCTCTCTCTCTCTCTCTCTCTCTCTCTCTCTCTC